TCTATAGCCCAACTTAACAAAGCCATCCAAAATTTACTCCAAAGTATCAGGCCTAACTACAAAGCTAAATAACATATAATTTTCTGTTAAAACAAACTTTCCAATTCTTTGAACAACTGGATACTAAAGTTTTGGTGTAATTACTTAATTGTAGTTGTAGGATTTTCTAGTGCTGCTTTAAAACCTTCCACTGTTTCACCACTCTAAGAAGGACAATTTTCTGTCATCTCTTTGGTGCCTATTCTTGTTTATATTACAACTGCATTAAAGAAACATGCAATAAACCCATATGGGTCATTGCTATTTATAGCTGTAGCCTTTTTTTTCCATACTCATTGATGGTGCTAAGAATTTTTTCCTTAATTCTTTGTGTTTCCCTGGATTTGAGTCACTGCATATGCTTTCACTACTCAAAACTGAAACACTGACTAATGAATGAATTTATGCCATCTCTCACCACTAACCAGTGCCATGAATTTCACTGTTAGTTTGTTCACTTGAAAGGCATGCAGGTATGCTGCAAGCCATTGCAAAGTATCCAATTATTTCTAAAGCAAGAGTGTATTATAGGTAATACCTTCCCAAGTGTACAGTATTAAGTTCTATAATGAATCATCATGCAACTAAGTTATGATTATCTTACCTGTATCATTATCACATTCTACATGTATGCTTCTAAGTATTATATTTTGTAATGATATACAAGCTCAAAAGTACTAGTGTTGCAAAATATACCTTCTTCTCCAGTCATTTTTATGAAGAGTTGTTATAGTATTAGGCTGGTGCACAGAAACCACATAGTGAGGTACTACTATTATACTGTCATGTTTAAAACAGAATACTATTGCATGTTTTACACTCTAGCAGAATTACTGGTCTTTTCTCATCGACTCCTGAACACAAAATGACAGGTAAATCTTATGGTTGCCTTTTGCCAAGGCAGAATGACCCTCATTTTTTTCCCGGTGTATCTTATTTCCAATTTAGGAGACCTGGTCTGAGACTGAGGTGCATGTGCAATGATCCCCAGAAACAGAGACAAACTCAAGGTAGTCGGTCACAGAAAACATACCATCCCCTCCAGTCAAAAAATAAATATTATTATTTAGTTGTTATATTCTAAATTACTGTATATTATTATTATTATTATTATAATAAAAAAGAAGCACTAAACCACAAGGGCTGTATAATGATATTGTGCACATCAAAGTAAGACGACTATACTACGTGGTTTGTGGAGCTAGGAAATTTCTGGTACAGTAAACAGTTCTATAAAGACAGGTTACTCCACTAGGCATACACTTCCACAGGTTGTAAAACTAATCCTAAACTTAGAGGTATCAGTTATCCAAATTATATGGTACCCTACTGCAATAGAACTAGATACTGTGCTAATTTTCTAGCACTGAGTAATATTTAAAGTTATAAATTTAGTTATCCTTTATTTAGCATTTATCTTCGTAATTAATGTTTTTCCCTAAAAATTGAAGATACCCTAACTTTATGTAGCCAAGGTTATAAGAGTGAGAAGAAAAAATGTGTTCCTATAGCATAAACTTTCCCCTAAAATATTTAATACATTTATTCTGCTTTAATCAGAAAAGAATATTGTGTAAGTGACAAGATAAAAGAGGAGATCCATTCAGAAAACTTACCTATGAGCTAATTACAATCTAAAGTTTAATTAGGTCAGAGATCCATTTCTTGTTTGAAAACCTGTTAAAATTATGATCATGCTGTATCTTAACATGCCAGCAATATGTTTAAGTATAAATGTTACATACTGTACTTAAGACTTCAAGGCCAAGCATTAACTTGCCATGACCTCAAATCTAAAGGATTAGAATTCGATAGACAAAATAAGAGATCAAGTGTTATACCCACCTTAATATATGCATATGCCAATCACCTTGATCAAGAGCATTGATATTTGGTTATTTTCCCAAAACATTTCAGAAGTTGAAAGACAGATAGAGTCCTGGATTTAGGTGTCACTTATTTTCTGTGGTGCACCACTTGAAGACTATACACTTTGAAACAAAAGAGAAGGGATGGAGTAAGTTAAGTATAGGATAATACATTATTATAATAGAAAGAAGTGCTAAACCATATGATAATACAATAGTTGCAAAAAACTTGTGTGTTTTACCCATGATCCTGTTACAATGTAAGAATAACAATACCTGATGACCTGAACTTATACTCAGGTCAAGTTGATGTGGCATAATGAGTTCCTGAGTATCTTATCAGTTTCCTCTGCACTAACAGTAGTAATGAAAAAAAAAAAAAAAAAAAAAAAAAAAACTCTTAAAGGAAATATGTAATATCACAAATTCTTATACAGCTATACAAAACTATGATTATCTTCCAGCAGAAAGATAACTATTAAGTGCTATTCAAAATACTAATACCATAACTTTGTCGGTTTTATTTTAATAATTTTTCCTTTCAGCTTTTTGAAAATAATAAGTTCTTGGGTTTAAATTAAAGTTATAAATAACAGTCATACTAGAAACACATACACAATATACTTAGTGTACTGTATTTCTAAATAAAAAATAAAATGTTTAAAAAATCCTGCTGCTAGTTAAAAATATTGTAGTTATTAATAATTGCAAGTAAAATAAAAAAATATATATATATACATATATATATATATATTATTAATATATATATATAATATATATATTGTTATTATATATATTATATATTATATATATATATAAAAAATATATATCTATATTATAATTAAATATAATAATATATAGAATAACCATGACCCACTCGTTAACGAACTTTTTTCATTCCAAAAAATGTTTCAGGTGCCTCTGACCGAATTTTTTCCCATAAAATATTGTGAAGTAGATTAGTCCATTTCAGACCCCAAACATACACGTAAAAACGCACTATACATAAATACATTATATAATTGGTGCATATTGAGTGAATGTTATAATCGGGTCCACTGATATATATATATATATATTTATTATTACAGCCAATTCAAAATTTATTGCTGTAGATTAAAAAAAAAAAAAATGTAGTTATTGTGACACTATGCAAGACATAGTACTGTAATAATTATGAAAAAAATTGAAATAAATGAAACTATTAATAATAATAAAATAATTACTCATATAATAATAAAAATAAGAAATATTTAGATAAATAAATCCACAGTGTTGTGTGTGTTAACAAGGAATTTCGACTGAACTTTTATTCCAGCATCACAATGCAAAAAAAAAAAAAAAAAAAAAAAAAAATTAAAATGGCATCAAAATGAAGTGGTTTACAAGTGTGTAAACAAAAGGGAAAAACTGAGCTTACGTGTTACTTATATCACTAGTACAAGCATAATCATTTACATAGCTAAACTTCCACAACACACACACACTAACACTTTTGTATTTCTATGATATTACACACATGAATAAATACTAGACTGTAATAGAAACTGTACATGCAGAGAATATAAAATCTATTTCGCTTCTAAAAATACATAAAATGAATTATGGTACTTTTTAATGTACACAATAAGAAAAGCTACATCCCTTTGCATTCATAACATGATTGATATATATATAATATATATAGATATAAAATCTATATATATATAAAATATATAATAGATATATATATATATAATATATAATAATATATATAATTATAATATAGATATATAATATATATATAAATCTGTAAACATAATACTAATCAGTTAAATCTTGTATAACTGCTTTCCATTACAACTAAAATAATCTATTAAGTCTGATCACTGAACCTGAAAAGGATTCCTCTCTAATAAGCAAATATAAATGGCAAAACATAGTGAAACCCATCTACTCATGTACATACAGTACACATACTGTCAATGAAACTTGTACATCTCTCTATATGACAAATGGCACTTACTAAAGATGAGCTTTCAGAGAGAAAGACCAACTCTTATATAATATATACTGTACTAAATAGGTTTGAACCTACAGATATCCTTCAGTGAAGAGGGAATAAATAGATAACCATTACAGCAGACTAATTTGTGAAATCAGCCAATTGTTAGACAATATTAGCATAGATATCTTTCTAAATACCACACAGTTAGACTAATAAAAAAAAGAGAAAAACTTGTAATAAATGCATTAAACTCCTAAAATTCTTATGCAAACTCGAATCGTACATAAAGGAAACCTTACTGTCCAATGTACAGGTTAAGTATGTATTTGTGTATTTATGCATGTGCATGTTGGTGTACATACATTTGAATAAGGACACCTATTGTACAAAACTGGATGTGATATTCTATCATTTGTAATAACTTTGTGTTTGGGCCCAAATGCAGTTACGTGATACTTTATTATTTTTTATGTAATAAATATTTAGTATTTGGTAGAATTCAGACAAGTGTAGCTATATGAAGTTGTATGGGTGTAACAAGTGTTGTGTGGGGTCTTAGTGTTTGGTATGATGTAGACAAAGTTTGAGTTAAATGGGTGCATTTGAGTGAGAGTAGTTAATGTAAAGCATATTTACTGTAATGGGATTTGGACAAGTGGGAGTCAAAAGGAGGAGTGCAGATGGTGTCTGGTAGATGTAGACATGTAAGCAGTAGGTGTGTTAACTGGGTGAGTTTTGAGTGCATGATGAGGGTTTAAGAAGATATGGTAGGTGGGTATTGTTGAGTAGGTGAATAATTCTTGGGTATTTAGTTCTTCTCCATGGGAAAGTGGAAGAGAATTCTTCCTCTGTAAGCCATGCGTGTTGTAAGAGGCGACTAAAATGCCAGGAGCGAGGGGCTAATAACCCCTTTTGTATATATTACTAAATTTAAAAAGAGGAACTTTTTTCTTTTTGGGCCACCCTGCTTCAGTAGGATGTGGCAGCTGCACTGAAAGAAAGCTTTAGTAAAATGTGATTGGATGATTGGGTGTAGGTACTGTTTATGGAAAGTTGAGTGAGCAATATGAGTGGTAGAGTTCAGACAATGTCATATGATATGTAGATGTATGTGTGTGTGTGTGTGTGTGTGTGTGTGTGTGTGTGTGTGTGTGTGTGTGTGTGTGTGTGTGTGTGTGTGTGTGTGTGTGTGTGTGTGTGTGTGTGTGTGTGTGTGTGTGTGTGTGTGTGTGTGTGTGTGTGTGTGTGTGTGTGTGTGTGTGTGTGTGTGTGTGTGTGTTTGGGGGGAGAGGGGAAGATTAGATGGCAAGTGTCTACATATACCTACTTGTAATTACAGGAGCTAAGCTATGCTTATTATGTTCCATCTTCAGTTTTAATGTTAAATGAAATTTTAAAAGTTCCCTGTCGTAGCAGCATATACTTACCTTAATTTGCATGCATTTTTCTAGAATTTTTAACATGCCAGCCATATCCCACAGAAGCAAGGTGATAGAAAAATAAAACTAACACTTTTACCATCACTTCATCAAACACTTTTGCCAGAAGCATGCGGATATCAATTCACATGACCCTTTAAATGGCAACATCCCCAGCCTCATCCCTTCTTCAGGGTGCAGGCACTGTATTTCCCACCTTTAGGCCTCTAGCTTAGCTTACCGGTTTCCCAGAATCCCTTGATCAAGTCAAAGAAGCACTTGTCTCTATTCACTCTTATCTAATGCACTCATACAAGTTAGGTGTCAAAGAGGTTTACCTCCCTCCAACCCTTCCTGGGATAACCTCTATCCCTCTTCCTCCCCACCCCAGACATGTACACCCTCCTAGTCATCCTATTTTACTCCATCCTCTCTAATTGCCCAAACCACCTCAACAACCCCAACCTCAGCCCCCTTGAATAATACTTTAGAAACCCCAAATATTACAGTTCTAATACAGATCTTTGTACAAAATATAGTACTAGAAATTAAATTAGAAGTCTTGGTATAGAATTTAAGTAGACAAAAGAAGCCAAATGAATAAGACAAAGATTTTTACTGCTATCCAAGGGAATCCATAAAAAAAACCAAGAGCAAAAAGTGAAATAATTTAAGAAGACATGTGGCAAATATAATGAATGATACTGGGGTTAAATAATACTGTTGAGAAAGATCAGACATCCACATACCAAGGCATATACATATATGATTATTTACGAATTATTCAATCTGCATCTGAAATTTAATCTCTAATATTTTCCTTACCTGTAAGATTCTTTAATATTAAAGTTTATTAAATATAAACAAATATTTAATGTAATATCTTTGACAAAATATTAAATTACTTTTCTTTAAAATATTTTTTTTCAAAATACTGTATAAAATGATACCGAATTTACTTTCTTCCTGGCAGATGTTATTTACTGTATTTAAAAACTGGCTTATGTGTCTATTCTGTTCTCAAAATATTTATTATATAAAGCATTTGAAGCATTTTAACAAAAAATGCCCTATAATCTCAGATAGGTTATTATTAAATGTCAGGTTCTTCAAATGTTGAAAATAATATTAGTTCACACAATATTGTACAGGTATTACTCATCAGCAAACACTAGTCACAAAATATATCCCAATAATTTTTTCACATAAATTTTCTTTCAAGTATATTTTCACACTATGTACTTCCTTTAATCTTTTCATAATTTTATATTCCATCTGATGATAATCCCTTACTAGCACTTTCTCCTGCATCTAATTTTGGAATGATGCAATCAGTTAAATAGTGCCAAATTATAATAAAAGATACAAATAATGCACATAAGGTAAAATCAGCAGCACAATTTATGAAGAGCTGAATTTAACATTCTTTGCTGTACTTAAGATAAATACTTCAATGACAGTCCCCCCCCCTTGAAAAGATAAATGAAATAACAAATTCCTTGTAAGTTTTACCATAGGGAAAATGAAAGGGCACACTCTTCCCTGCTGAGGGGTTTTTCACAGGATGCATTCATATCTCATTGTAAATTAAACCTTGACTGTATCTTCTCTTTTATTATTTTTGCCTTACATATGCTTTTCCCTCTACTTTCTTTCTTGTGTGACTGTGGGTGTGTGTTTGCACGCGTGTTTGCTGAGAGGCCATCATTATTCACAACCATAGAAACTTCAAGAAAAGCAAAGTACTCCCCCCCCCCCAAAAAAAAAAAAAAAAGTAATGAATCAACAAGGTATAGATTGAAAAATTTAGCAATAAAGATAAGTGTGCCCATGACTAAAAAAACTTGAGAAATGAAGCTATACTTCACAAAGAAATTCTTGATTAAACAAGTGACACATATAGCCGAGTCAGCCCCAAATTCATTCATAAGAAACATTAAATATCATTTACAGTGAGAAAACCATTTGTAATTCCACAAATTTTTGAGCTTTGTAAACAAGGAGTTATCTAGACACAAATGTGGATTTGTAAGGTAGTAGGAATTCTGTTTCTATTTCTGAGCTGCTAATAATATAATCAGACTAGGCGCTAACCTAGTCTGAACTGTTAAAACATTAAAAAAAATGTGAACAGGTGAATTTAAGCTTTATAACATTTGTTACCATTAAAGTTACTCGACACTGTAATCCATTATTAGAAATAGAGGTTTATTGCTCTTGTATTTATCTCCTAATATTCAAAACAGTTCAAATATTGCAACTATATTCTGCTAATCAGTTCAAAAGATATAATTTCTATAATAAAAACAGTTTTTGCTCACTTACATGTTAACTCACACATGTATTTCTCTGCTAAGTTCAGACAGTCCAAGAAATTCTTATGAGTTACCCCGACAAATCATAATAACACACACACAATTCAAATTTGCACTCCACTCCTTTTCAGTATTCTTATTGTGTTCATATTAGTGTGAAACTGGTGGCATGGCAAGTGATTCAGTGGTGCCTCCCACCCATTGTCCCAGTACTGGTGTTTGTAACTTGTGGTCTTGCCATATATATACAAGACCATAGTGAACATCCACGGGCAACAATCGCAGCCTTTCATTTATATACGAGTATTTAACTATTGAGGAATAGTGATAAAACTTTTAAAATATCAAAATATACCCATATGGAAATCAATATTCATTTCGTTTTCAAAAATTTAGTATGAAAATCAAACAGATAATAATAAATAGTCAGTAAGCACAAACTTTAGACACCTAGAAAATGAAACATCAAACAGGGCTACTTCTGACTGGCTAAAATACTCTCCATTACTCTATATAAACTATGAACAAAAATTATTACCACTTTCAGCTGTAGTCTTACATTAATATACGTATGTATATACATATATATCTGTTATAATAAGAGCAGCATAATTTATTACCATGATCCTACCTTACACAACAAGCTCAAATTACCCTTTACAATGTAAGTGGATATACACTTACGTTCAGTTCGGAACATTAATTACAGGATGTATGTCACCAATTGTGACAATATGCTTCCTCTAATATTAAAATGTCCTGAATTGTACATAAATGGGTTTATCCACAACTTGTTATTACAATACCTTTTACAACTTCACAGTATAACATCACCAGTAATTGTACACAAAATATCCTGTCATAACTCTCACTTCTAATTCACTAATATGTATACACACTTCTTGTTGATGAAATACCTTTAAACGTCATAAGTATAAAGTTATAATGTTGATTAGGGTTTGTCACTTGGCAGTATTACTGAGTCTTTTGTCTTGTGTCTTATGCATTTATGAGCTTATGTAATCTCTAAGGCGCATTATTATTCAAGTTGTCAACATGACAAAAATTAGTATACAGACTACATTTCATATATAACGAACAGAGGCTTGGACACGAGTCACTATGCATAACAAGGAGAAAATAGTTGTTCTGTCAACTTAATATCAGACTTCAGTTTACGAGTTTCATCACACTTTTCAACCCTGTGGACGAAAAATGCTTTCCAAGAAGGAAAGATACTTATTTACAATGGGGGCAAGTGGAACTGACAAACAATGGATGATGAGGTTGAAACAGATGAACAAATGATTGGATTTAAACAGCCACACATAACAACAGTGGATGAGCAGTTCTGGCAACTTAAGGAGCCTACTGTGATTCATACTCTTAGAGTGATCCACATACACAGGAAGAATTCCTAAGAATAATACCTTTCATCAGAGAAAGAAAAAATTTATAAGGAAAAATGTGATTTCCCTATTCTTGAAGGTGTGCTCTGGCAAATTAAACACATTCTTGCCAAAAAGAGTCGAGTCTACTCAGAGCAAAGACTTGCCACAGAGTAAAAATTTTCTCCTTGTGCCAATTACCTAACCTGCGGAAGACAGAACTAGAAAGTAATAAAAACAAAAATGCTGTAATAAAGTAGAAATCCTCTTGAAAGTAGAACACTTCTTGTAGATACCTTGCAGGTAAAATGTAGAAATTCCACTGAGGGACTATTTGGTTGAGGAAAAGGAGCATTCTCAACATATGTAATCTGCACACATGATTACACTCATCTGGCATATAGGTCCCACTCACAGAGGAATGATTCACAGATAGATTTGCATCCACCTAGTTGTCCATCACTTAGCTAATGACATTGATATCCATGTCACAAAATGTGAATCAGAGATGTTTTTGGTAATGGCAATAAAACACCATTTCTATGCACTTGCTTTGTGGCACTAATATCCACGTGACGTCACTTGAACTTAGCAGCACCAAGCAGCTAAGTGTGCGCCACAAGCGACGAGATAAAAAGTCTGCGGCACATGTGATTGTCTCTGCACTAAACAGCTGCACCATTGCTCAGGAACATATGAGATGTTGGAGATTCAGACTCCCTCCCTGAGGATAAGAAAAAAATCCATGAGAGGTTAATTCTTTTACACTGCATCATCACACACAATAATGGTATTATGTTAGTTGCTATGAATATTTGTCTTTTTTTTTTTTTTTTGAAGGAATTCAGGGAAAGTGGTTAGCTGGACTCAAGTCCTGGAGGTGGGAGGTACAATGCCTGCACTATAAAGGAGAGGTTTGGGATACTGGCTGTTTGGAGTGACATCTAAACTGTCATATCTGGGCACCTCTGCAAAGACAGTGATATTGTGTGAGTGATAGTGAAAGTGTTTCTTTCCTTTTTTGGGTCACCCTGCCTTGATGGGAAATGGCCGTTGTGTTGAAGAAGAAGAAAAAAAAAAGGTTACAGCAGTGGTTTTATTCAAGAAAAACAGAGGCACAGTATTACAAGACAAAAACCCACCAATAAATGTGATGCCTAATACAAGTACAGCATTGAAAAATTAGGGAGGGGGGAATTATCTGTAAATACAAGAGCAGAACTATGCTTGTAATAACCAGAATTTACTAGTTAGTTTGTCATATATTAGGTTAGTTTCCAATGGTTGAAGCATATACATTTCCAGTAAAGACATTTTTTAACATTCGTTTGATATTGATGCTAAAATATTCTTTCTTTCAACACACCGGCTGTATCCCACTAAGGCAGGGTGGCCCAAAAAGAAAAACTAAAGTTTCTCTTAAATTTAGTAATTTATACGGAAGATGGGATTACTAGCCCCTTGCTCCCGGCATTTTAGTCGCCTCTTACAACACGCATGGCTTACGGAGGAAGAATTCTGTTCCACTTCCCCATGGAGATAAGAGGAAATAAACAAGAACAAGAACTAGAAAGAAAATAGAAGAATACCTAGAGGGGTGTGTATATATATATATCTTCTTCTTCTTTCAACGTACCAGCCGTATCCCACTGAGGTGGGGTGGCCCAAAAGAAAAAACTGAAGTTTCTCCTTTTAAATTTAGTAATATATACAGGAGAAGGGGTTACTAGCCCCTTGCTCCCGGCATTTTAGTCGCCTCTTACAACATGCATGGCTTACAGAGGAAGAATTCTGTTCCACTTCCCCATGGAGATAAGAGGAAATAAACAAGAACAAGAATTAGAAAGAAAATAGAAGAAAACCCAGAGGGGTGTGTATATATATGCTTGTACATGTATGTGTAGTGTGACCTAAGTGCAAGTAGAAGTAACAAGACATACCTGAAATCTTGCATGTTTATGAGACAGACAAAAGACACCAGCAATCCTACCATCATGTAAAACAATTACAGGTTTTCGTTGTACACTCACTTGGCAGGACGGTAGTACCTCCCTGGGCGGTTGCTGTTTACCAACCTACTACCTAAATTATTATTATCAAAAGAAGCACTAAGCCACAAGGGCTCCTACTACCTAAAATACAGTGGACCCCCGCATAACGATTACCTCCGAATGTGACCAATTATGTAAGTGTATTTATGTAAGTGCGTTCGTACGTGTATGTTTGGGGGTCTGAAATGGACTAATCTACTTCACAATATTTCTTATGGGAACAAATTCGGTCGGTACTGGCACCTGAACATACTTCTGGAGTGAAAAAATATCGTTAACCGGGGGTCCACTGTATATTCAACTATTTTTCTAATATCTGTTTATTAGTACAGTCTGTGGTTATTATATTTTGTAAAATATCTCTGTACTTTACAAATCTACCTACATTTTGTTTTGGTTCCAGAAACCATGCTACAGCTGTATATTATTCTCCACATCTAATGCAAGTTTTAAACAATTTCTTGAGCTCTTCACTATCCATATATACTATGTGAATGCTATGAAGAAGTTTACCATTACATCATGCAAGTTTCTCACTACTGCACTTGTGAACTCTTGGGAATAATCCCTAGCCTAAAATTATTCACAGATCCCTTTACCTGTGCCATGTTTTAACCCTTTGACTGTTTACGCCGTATAAATACGTCTTACGCGCCACTGTTTCTGACGTATATATACTCAATAATTCTAGCGGCTTCAAATCAAGCTGGAGAAAGCTGGTAGGCCCACATGTGAGAGAATGGGTCTGTGTGGTCAGTGTGCACCACAAAAAAATCCTGCAGCACACAGTGCGTAATGAGAAAAAAAAAATTGATCGTTTTTTTGGATTAAAACGCCGACTTTGAGGTGTATTTTCGTATAGTATTTATCGTTGTATTCGTGTTTTCATGGTCTTAGGTGATAAAATGGAAAACATATTACAGAAATAGAGATGATTTTCATTACTTTGACGATGAAAACGACCTTGAAATTGAGCTCAAAGTAGCGGAAATGTTTGATTTTTACTAATGTTCAGGAGTAAACAAATCACACCACACGTCCAATACACATCAACTGGGGAGTCTAATATTCTTTCACTTGTACACTGATATTATTTATACCATTTTTACAATAATGCAGTAGTCTGCATAATAGTAAATTTTATATTTTTTTGTATTAATAAAAAATTGGCCAAATTGCCAATTTCTGACCACTATATTGGGTAGTTCAAATTGGTAAATGGGCAGTTTCTTGTACTCAGCTGATAGATAAAATGGAGTTCTAAAGAAATAGCTATGAGTTTGGTCAACTAGAACAACGGAATTGGCTGAAAACAGGGCTCAAAGTTGGCGAAATCGCCGATACGCATATGTCGCCGTGACCGCTAACTTCGCGGGAGCGTATTCCGTGAGTTTTTGACCAAATTTCGAACTTTTGGTGTCATTACCATCGGGAAAAGATTCTCTATCATTTCATAAGATTTTTTTTTTTTTTCAAAAATTTATCGACATAGAATGACAGTTTCAGAATGGGGCCTGCGACAGTCAAAGGGTTAAGACATCATGAAATCCAGATTTTTCAATGCAGTCTGTTTCCACTCTCCCATTTTTATTATGTGGCTCTTTTTTTTAAACAAACTGGCAGTCTCCCACTGAGGCAGGGTGACCCGAAAAAGAAGGAACGAGTGTTACTTCTTTTTACATTTGGTAATTAATGCAGGAAAAAGGGTTACTAGCCCCTTGCTCCCAGCATTTTAGTCGCCTCTTACGACAGGCATGGCTTATAGAGGAAGGATTCTTCTCCACTTCCCCATGGAATGGCATTGTATTTTTTTTTTTTTAACATGTCAGCCGTCTCCCACTGAGGAAGGGTGACCCAAAAAAGGAAACACTTTCACCCTCATTCACACATAATCAGTCTTTGCAGTGGTGCCCAGATGTGATAGTTTTGATGTCTCTCCAAACATCCAACATCCCAAACACCTCCTTTAAAGTGCAGGCACTTTAGTTCTCACCTCCAGGACTCAAGTGCGGCTAATTTGTCCCCCTGAATCCCTTCACAAAATATTACCCTGCTCACACTCCAACAGCTCGTCAGGTCCCAAATACCATTCGTCTCCATTCACTCCTATCTAACATGCTCACGCACGCTTGCTGGAAGTCCAAACCCCTCACCCACAACACCTCCTTTACCCCCTCCCTCCAACCTTTTCGAGGACGACCCCTACCCCGCCTTCCTTCTCCTACAGATTTATACGCTCTCCATGTCATTCTACGTACTTTGATCCATTCTCTCTAAATGAACTGTATAAACATTTAAAAATATACCAGAAATGTTATGTATGGTGCAAAGGTGACATTCAAACAATATGAAAGATGGTTGACACAAACTCACTACCATTATACGGTGAACCCCCGGTTAACGATATTTTTTCATTCCAGAAGTATGTTCAGGTGCCAGTACTGACCGAATTTGCTCCCATAAAGAATATTGTGAAGTAGATTAGTCCATTTCAGACCCCCAAACATACACGAACAAACGCACTTACATAATTGGTCGCATTGGGAGGTGATCGTTAAGCGGGGGTCCACTGTAGTATGTTCCTCATTTAGCGACAGATTTGTTTAACGACGTGGTCTCAGGAACAGAACTCCATTGTTAAGTGAGGAGAGGCTGTATTGCAATATTATATAACAGTACAGTGGAATCTCAAATTTCAAACTTAATCCGTTTCAGGAGCTAGTTCTAAATTCGAAAAGTTTAAAAGGTGAGGCAATATTTCCCATAAGAAATAATGGAAATACAATTAATCCATTCCAGAAACCCAAAAATATTCACGAAAAAATACATTTTATAGAGATTAATTATAGTTTTTACATACACACAACAAATATAGTGTACAATTATGTATTAATAAATTTAAATAAATATATAAAATAACATTTTTACTTACCTTTATTGAAGATTGGTGATGGCATCTGGAAGATAGGGAGGAGGAGAGAGGGAGTTGGGGTTAGTGTTTGGAAGGGAAATACCCCTCCATAAGGACTTTAGGTATCAAAGCCCTCTCTGGGGTTACTTCCCTTCTCTGTCTTTCAATGCCACTAGGACCAGCTTGAGAGTCACTGGACCCCTGTCTCACAAAATAACTGTCCACAGTCCTCTGTTTCTGGTGCCTCTAAGATTTCCCTAAAATGGGACATAGTTTTGTCACTGAACTTGTTGCAAAGATGGCTTGTTTCAGCTTGCTCAGGGTGGTACTTCTCCACAAACATTTGGACATCATTCCACTTGGCGCAAATCTCCTTAATCTTTGAAGAAGGTGGACAGGTCCAGTACCCGGCGGTTCGAAAATAGGGGCTAGTTCGATAATAGGGACAAAGTTGGTTGATTTTCGAAGAGTTCAATAAGCAATACGTTTGAAATTTGAGGTTCCACTGTAAATCAATTTTTGTGTGAATAAAAATTCAAAATGGAATTCATGTGTAACGACTGTGAACATAACTAATGAACAGAGGAAATGTTATTTTAGTGCCAGGAATGCCTGCATTATTTATCCTGGACCCTATTTTGAAATTTGTGTGAAATTTGCCAAATTTCCAATTTCTGATCACTTAATTGGATAGTTTAAATACTCAGATATGGTAAACACGAGGAAATTAAATCTTCATCAGAGTACAAAACAAATTCTGGC